AAAAAACGATCTTTTGTGATTTTAGCTTACAACTTGTATAAGATATAAGTAAGATAATAAACATTTCATCTTGATAATAAAATCTCTTACACACATGCTTGTAGAGTACTCCATATATTTACTCTTACATGAAACTCCAACCAATTCCAACATGCCAAAATTATCCTTCGGATTTGGCTTATATTGAGTCTTTTCATTTTATTATTCCCAAGACAATATTAAACCATGTTATATATATAAAAGAACATTGAAATAAGTGGCTCCACAATGTTCCCCAATTATCTTTAATCAAAAAATCTTCCTAACATGTTTTTTTTAACATGTATTTTTATTAGTTGTCGTCATATTTTTTAATACTACTTTTATTAGTGTTTGTTTAATTATTAGTGATTTGGTGTTAATGTATTATCTTTTCAATCAATTAAGTTAATAATATCGATTAATTTGTATGTACATTGAAGGTTGAGAGAGTCCTTCCTTCCAATTCTTCCCAAACCACTTCTCATATCGTTATTTCACCCTTCTATCTCACACTATATTGAAATTCATATTTTCTCATCTCTTCCCACTCTCTCAATTTATTTAATTAAATACAAATTAATTAAAATTATACAAACACTCGTACTGTCCACCATTATATTTATTTTTCAATTAAGTCACTTTTGCCTACATTTGAAAAGATTTCTAGATCCATTCAGCTTGTAATTATAAACTAATCAAGTTGCTATATATGAAAGACAAAAAAATCTTTTTGTTAATTATTATGTAAGGCAAAAATAAATGATAAATTTAGTTGTAACGTTTATTATAATCGGTTCTAACATTTGTAACAATGGAGTAGTTAAAAAGATTCCAATACACCACGAGAACTTTAATTAATAACAAAAGAATATTTACATGTGCAACTTGATTTATGTGCAATATAAAGTATAAAGTATAAATTAGTAATGTTCATTAATTGATTTTATAACATAATTATCAAAATCTTCCAAATATAGAAGAAAAAAAGTATACATATTGTGTTAATTCGTAGATTATTTAATATAAAACAGAAGGCTACCTCCTTTTTCTGTAGTTAATAAAAATGTCTAAAACTTTTAATCTAACATCATAAGTTGTATATTTTGTTTAAAAAAATAACAATTAATTTGATAAATATCATATGTATCTCATGAAGGTTGTATCATTTATGCAAAATTTAATATTTCCTGGTCAAAAACTTTTATATGCTAATTAAATATCACATTTGTCTTTGTTTATGATAGGCTAATATGATGCGATTTACCATTTTCTTATACACTAATATACTGATTTAAGCTAATGAGATATTTTTATTAGAAAGTTTAAGAAACAAATAAACAGCATGTTAAATTGCTATCAAATGCAAGCATTTTAACTTTTGAAACAATATCAATTTTTTTTTATTAATTTATGATAAAGAGGGAAACATTATATTTTGGATGCAGAAAGTGGATAATCTGTGATAGGAGATATGGTCTCCCTTCATTTCTAAGAAAACTTCCTCTTTAGTGGTCTTACATTTTACTTTCAAATGTTGGCAAATGAAAGCTCAAATTCCCATTCCATATAAGTCATGTTGCAACTTGCAAGTTATTTAGCCTTATTATCGAATTTGGGTCGTATTTGACTATTTGGTATACTTATACCATTTATATTTGTCATATTAAACTAAGATATTTAATTTTTTGTTTTTTGGATTATTTTGACAAACCGAAAAAAAATAGTTTTTAAACTATTTTTCAATAAGTTATAGATTTTTTGAAAAAAGATATTCCCAATATTCTTCTAACTATTTTTAATATTTAAATTTCAATTGGTTCACTAACTGTCAAATTAAAAATAAATTTCTTGTAATATGGTAATTAGTTACAAAAAATATATATCATGAAATGTTATTGTTCTTATTTTCACCAGATTTTTAATAATCAATAGTATTCATAAGCTATTGTAAAAATTATATTGCTTGTTATTGACATGATAGGAATTCAACTCTAGTTTTGACTTTTTTTTTCGAGTAAATTACACGAATGATCCCTATGGTTTGGGGTACTTTGTATGTTTGGACCGTAATTTATTTATTTAACTCGGAAGGTCCCTACAGTTTGTTTTTGTTGCGCGTTTGGTTCCTGTATTACCCAAAATTATTTTGTTCTTGATTTTTTAATTTATTTAAATAAGGTGGGGTATGTAAGGTAAAGTAAGGTGATATAGAAGTGTGGTCGGGGGTCTGTTTATTTAAACAAATTAAAAAATCAAGGTCAAATTAGTCTTTTAAGGTAAGACAAAGACCAAACGCGCAACAAAAACAAAACAGTAGAGATCTTCCGAGTTATAAAAATAAATTAGGGACAAACGTGCAAATTATCCAAAACCATAGGGACCATTCGTGTAATTTACTCTTGTTTTAACCCAATTTTGTAAAGTTACTTTTTTTGGTTTAGTTGTTTTCTCTAAAATATTCAAATATCCACATTATAGTTGTTTTGTTTTGTTTTTTCTGGAACCCAAATTTGTAACATTATATTTTGACAATCTTGAGATTTATACGGATATAAACTTATATGATAGAGGATGCAAAATTCCATTTAAACATAAATAAATGATAAATTTTATTCAATATTTACTTTACTTTAATAATATTTATTATTTATTTGTCTTATAATATTCAATTATACTTTTACATATTTTTATATATTATTTTAAATTTATTAGTTATGTTAGTTTAAACATAAACAATTGATAAATTATTATTTAATATTTACTTTAATTTAATAATATGTTTTATTCATTTGTCTTATAATATTCAATTATACTTTTACACATTCTTATATGTTATTTTAAATTTGTTAGTTATTATATCAATTAGTTTTTTTAAACGTTTTTATTTCTTATCCGTTATTTTTTTAGCTAGTCTGTTAATTATATCCTAGTTTTAATATTATATTTTAATATTATATTTCGAGTTCGTTTCTTGCTAATTAGTCGGTTTTTCCATAAAGATAGTTTTGTTTTACTCGTTATACAATACTCTGTCTTGTTATTTTACCTATCACATGATAATTCTAGATGTAGTATGATCCGAATGGAGTTTTTGAAAATCAATCTTATGGTATTTGGAAATTGGAAGAATTATATGTTATTTATAATCATTTCTACATGAGAAAATATATATATTTAAAATTAATATTATAAATTTTAATGTAAAGTTCTACTTACCACAAATATATATAGTCAAACATATATAAATTATTAACAAAAAGAGAATGTGAAGTAGACCCCCGTCTTACTTATATATATCGCTGTCCTCCTTTCAACTCCACAAATCACCACTTTCCCTCGTCTTTCCACCTCCAAAACACTAGTCACCTCATCCTTCATCCACCATCCGCCATTGTTATCCCAAAACTATGGACAATTACCTGCAATTATTCATCAAAGAGACCACTCTGTACAATCAATTAGTCCTCGGAAGCTTGTTGCCGGAAAATCTGTGGACTCCTCTCCCACACGCCGTCCAAGGGTGGCTCCGTAACTACATTGCCGCCACCATTCTTTACTTCGTCTCCGGCTTCCTCTTATGCTTCTACATTTACCACTTTAAGCGTAACATCCTTCTTCCCAAAGGTTAGAGTTAAACACCCGAATTGGGCTTAGTCAATTTAGGGGTTTTGTTGTCGATTTCAGTTTCTGTTTTGCGTTTATCTGTTCATGTTTTGGACAATTGATTTGTGATGATTTGATCAAATTTAATGGCTGATTACATGGGTGTTGTTTAATTTGAATCTTTATTTGGTTTCTCATTGTTATAGTTTATATATCAGCAATTTCTGAAGTTAATTGATTGTGTTATTGAAATCTTTATTGGGTTGCAGATGCAATTCCTTCAAGAAAAGCAATGGGTTTACAAATATATGTGGCAATGAAGGCGATGCCATGGTATTGTCTTCTTCCCACGATCTCGGAGTACATGGTTGAAAATGGATGGACCAGATGTTTTTCAAGGATAAGTGACGTTGGCTGGTTTTCATATGCTTTGAATTTAGGGTTTTATCTTATACTCGTTGAATTCGGTATTTATTGGATGCATAGAGAGTTACATGACATTAAACCTCTCTACAAATACCTTCACGCAACTCATCATATCTACAATAAGCAAAACACACTTTCACCTTTCGCCGGTTAGTCCCCTTCTCATATCACTTGCATTCATATCAATATCAGACTTATTTATACCGGTACACATATCAAACGCGATTCATACTGGTATGAATCAAGTCTGATATATTAGACGTTATGCATATCAGGCCTATATGTAGCATGCATCAAACATGATGCATAATACATACCAGGTTATTGTATAAATAACCTCATGGATCAAGTCTAGGCCTTATGCATATAATATGCATAAGGTCTGATCCATATAGTATGTATAAGGCCTGATATATATGATATATCAGGCATGGATGTGTTTTGGTGAACAAAACAATCTCATTAATATTTTATTTTGGATTAGGTTTGGCGTTCCATCCTGTAGATGGTATACTGCAAGCCGTGCCACATGTTATCGCGTTATTCCTAGTGCCAACACATTTCACAACGCACATAGGGTTGTTATTTATTGAAGCCATATGGACTGCAAACATTCATGATTGCGTAGACGGGAAAATATGGCCCGTTATGGGTGCGGGCTACCACACTATTCATCATACAACATACCGACATAACTATGGGCATTATACCGTATGGATGGATTGGATGTTTGGCACACTTCGTGATCCTTTAGAAGACGAAGAGACCAAAAAGATGTGACTTTGATTGGTGTCTTGTTTTGGATTGTGTTGTGTTTATGTAAAGAACTATTTTTTCGATGGTTTTATATCGGTTAATTTGAGTTATATTTTATTTATAGCAGGTTAAACGGATCACAATAGAAAAAAAAAAAGGTTCGACATAACATAAAATTGTTACATGGACAAAAGAATTGAACTCACACCAATTCATATTCCGATATATTTGTTCATTTTACATGACGAAAAAAGGGCGAAGAAAAGATAATTAAAATCATGAAGTGGATACCTTGTGACCTATGCTCAATATAACATACAATGATACAAAGGACTAGTAATAACAATAACACTCATTTTTCATAACAAAACAATACAAAACATAAAGAAAAAAAATACGAAAAGCTTGAGCAACAAGTTACCTTTCTTACACGAAACTTGCTCAACAAGTAATCACCAAACCAACCCTTTTCGTCTTCTAAACATGTCAACACTCATTCGAGACTTTTCCGGCTTGTTTCTTGGCTTCTTTGACTTCTCGAGTCTACTATCTAAACTATTTCTAGAAACTTCCGGAAGGTCAGCACGCAACTCAAACGTATCTCCAGAAACCGTGGAGCCACTTTCGGACACTTTCTTTTGATTCTCAACATCCGGTATTATTGAGGTTTTTGTGCCATTAATGGAAGTTTTTGATTTTCCAAGGGACAAAACGAACTTTTTTAAGTGGCGGATGAACTCGGGATAGAACTCAAGGTTGCAATGGCCTCCACCGGTTAGCCATAACGGTTCATATTTGTTCTTGCAAAGCTCCCATAGTTGTTTCCCATGTGAATGATCCACAACTTCATCCGATGTTCCCTATAAGCAACGAGTTACAATTATATAAATTGAATTTACATTTATTAAGTGATAACTTTTCAAAAAATTGTTCCCATAAATATTTTAAGCATATTTTATATTAATGAAAAAAAACTAGATTGATAATCTTACATGTATTACAAGAACCGGGCAACTCACTAAACTTATCTTCTCAATATTCTGAAACCAACCGAAAACATAACAAAAAAGAGTTAACAACATTTCATTTACAAGATTTAAAAAGAATTTAATAAAAAAAACGTATATTATTATGCACAAAATATAATAATCACCTTATAAATGTCAAACCAATAGGTTCGTTTGACAGGATACAAAACCCTTAGGCCCGAAAGGATTGGACTATGTAGAACCAAACCTCTTAAATCGGGAATTCGTGATCCAAGGTCAATGGTGGGCCCACTACCAACAGATTGACCATATAAAATTAGTTGATCATCTTTGACTTCGTATTTTTCCTTTAGACATTTATATACCGCATCAATGTCCGCATATGTATTACACTCGGATGGCTGTCAATTAAAAAAAGAGAAATTAAATACTAATTTCTCTTAAAAAAATGGTTGTCAATTGTCATGTTATTTAAAAAAGAAATCTCCGATAAAGTTTCAATATTTTGGGTCAATTTATGGTTTAATCTTAACTTTTATTTTTTGAACCGGTAAGTTCTGATTTTTTATATTTTGTCCAAATTAACGAACCTGTCTTTATTTATTTTCAACAAAAAATGATATTATCATATAAAATTAGATAATTGAGAAATCTCTGCTCAAAAAATAAAAATTAGGATTAAACTGTAACCTGACTCAAAATATTTGGGACTTTATCGGAGATTTCCTATTTAAAACCATAGATTTGTTTATAAAAAAATATTTAAAAAAAAATGTATATGAAGTTAATAGTAAACCTTTCCGGTTGATTGCCCATATCCGGAGTAGTCGTAGCTGCATATATACATAAGATAACGGTTTAGACATTTGAAATTATGGTTTAATGCAAGAAATAACAGTATATTTTCATTTCTTCCTATTATATCAATCTTATCCTAATACAAAGCAATTTTCATTGCTATAATTTGGTAGGTTTTTCAAAGTGCAATTCTTTAATAAGAAAAAAAATGAAAGTATGATAGGAAGAAATGGAAGTAGGACACTATAATATACAAATTATACAAATAAATGGAAGTTTGTTACTATTTCTTGGATTAAGTGGGTGTTTGGATATGCGTTTTGAAAGTGATTATTGTCACTTGAAGAATCAAAAATCAGATAATCAGTTTATTAAAGCTAGGGTTAGGTAGGTAATTTTTATATTTATCTTGATAAACAGTTTTATTATAACAACTACCTACACACTTTTCTACATTTGAACAAGAAGATACATACGAACAAGACTTATAGGGAATTATATGAACAAGGCTCTACATGAACCCTAAATGAACAAGATCAAACGTTGGTGTCTTTCCTTTTGACTCGACCACCTTCAATTTCTTACTAAATTAGTAGTAAAAATACTAGATTTCTTGAATTTTGTGTATGAAAACGAACTTACTAAATAGAGAAATGATCAATTTTAACCTTTTTAAACGAAATTAATCAACACCCACTAAATTCCAGATAATAAATTGAAAAAGAATCAAGAAAATACCCAACAATATTAACACGAAGACGGAGGCTCAATTCGACAAAAAGCTCGAACATCTGACCCAAATCGGCAGCATTACCATGAGAATAAAGAAGTGTAGCAGAAGCTTTTGGGTGTTTAATATGTACAGTAACGATTTCGTTGCCTTTTTTAGTTCGAAGCTTTAGCACGTCGACGCCTTCCTTCCTAGGAACCTCCGGAATAAAGAGTTGGCCGCCGCAGGACTCGTCGGCTTCCACCGTGTAAGACGGCGGAGTAGGTGGGAAGAAGGCGAACTTAGCTGCGATCGATGATGTTACTCCTCCCATCTATGGTTGGTCTGCTTTAGGTGAGTTCGATTCATAAATAAAGTCTCGAACTTTTTAATAATTTGGGTTTCTGGGGTTTAAAATCCGATTGTTGAATCTTCAGATCTCCTTTTTTCAGGGGGGAATTTGGGTGGATAGCAGTGGTGATAATTACAAGTGACGACAAAAGGTTGTGGGGAGATAGTGGTGAGCTGCGATGTGTCACTGATGTTTTAGGTGGTGGGGGCGGGGGGAGTGTTGCCTTGGGGCGGCGCGTGGTTTTTGATGATTGGAGCGTGGAGGATTTCTATTGAAGAATGGGGTGCGGGGAGGGTTTTTAGGCGGCTGACGGATGATTTATGAGAGGAGGTGGCAGCCGCAGGCGGCGGCGATTCGTATATGTGTATGGCCAAATTATTCTCTGCCCGGTTACCGTTAGTAGGAATACTTGAAACTAACGTTGGTTGCACAAAATATTGGGATACCAAAACATTTAATACTAGATTCCCAAACACTTTATTAACCTAAAAAAGAGACTTAATTATTGCATGTTTTATGTTTATGTTCTCCAAGTCATATGGCCTTTTTATGAAGTTTTGTGTGGAGATGTATTAATTAAAGATAAAATTATATAAATGGTTTTTGTAGTTTATAAAATGATCAAAAATATTTTTTGGGAAAAAAATAATAATTAGAGTTAGATACTTGTGAAATGATTAATATTTTTTTATTCATTTGTTTTTTTCTATTTAATTAGGGTTTTTCTTTTTCATTAAAATAAGAAACCAACCTCTCTCTCTCTCTCTCTCTCCAAATAACTCAAATTCCTCAACAACATCTTCGACAAACCATTTTATCCCCAACTACAACCTTCATCGAAAGGAGATGATACTTTTATGACGAGTGAGGAGTAGTCTAATTGTTAGTGACTGAATAGTCATGCAATGATACTGATAAGTTTACCAATGGGAGAAAGAGAATGACATTGCACACTTCTGGACCTATGTACTAATAGCATTTAAATAACATGGGATTAACTTAGTGGATTTTTTTTCTAGGGGTAACTCAATACAAAAAAGGATGTTTAATGATCTCATTAAGGATTTCACAATCCAATCAAAATAAGATGACAATCCCAGTTTCAATTAATTATTGTGTTTCGAATATGAGTGATTTGAATCAAATGATGAATGGTTGATGGTATATTATTCACGATTAAAGTGAATAGGTGTTATACTAAAACCCTTGTTGGGAATGAGTACAAATCGAATGGGGGTTTTGATTCAAGATCAAATTATTCATTTAATTTAATTCATAATCATGGGTTGAGTTCTAGATGGCCAATCAATGACTGCTATTTCTAAAAGATGATTAATGTATAAAGATGAAAAAGAATTTTTCAAGATTAGATAAAGAAAATCAAGATATATGGGAAGGTGGTTTCGTCTGTTGTTGATTTTATTACATGGTTTATATGGTTGGATTTTCACAAATACTAAATGAGGCATATCAACACATTCAAGATATGAATAATGTCAAACCTGAAGCAGCTTTATGGACAGACATCCTACGAGCTTGCAAGATACATAAAAATATCGATCTTGGCTTGTAACAGTTGTGATCTTTTAGCGATCAAACCTTAACATCTTGGACATTATGTTTTTTTCTCTCGATTGTATATGGAATGACAAAACAAGGAGATCGAGTAAATGCAGATGTGTATATGTGTGTATGTTTGGTTTTAGGTTTTTAATTAAAGAATGTTGAAAAAGAAAAATAAAAGGATCGATAGAGAGAAAGAAATAAGAAGAGACATAATGGGGTTGGAGTAGGGCCATTTTGTTTTTATTTTATTATAAATAACTTAAATAAAAAGGAAAGGGTATATTGGCCATTTCCAATGCACATAAGCCTTATTTTCTAACTGTGTTACTCCTAAGGACGTAAGGTGCAATGTTTTCAAACCACATTGATCACTTGTTGGATAATGATGAATATACGAAAAAAGAAATAATGGAGGTAAAAATATACCAAACATCGTAATCTATCCAAATGCTTAATATTCATAGTATCATGCAACTAAATTTACCTACAAGAAAGATAAGACAGTTACCTTTGGTAGATGTCAAGAAGAAAACAATGACTCAAAACATAGCCTCTCTATCATGCTACACCCTTCAAATTAAGCAAACAAAACTTGCGTGCTTGAAATTGACTAAAACCTGACCGAATTCTTGGTTTTTCAACCGAAAAGCAGGGAAGAAGGAAGACGGGCATGGGTTTTCTTATTTATTGTACTGTATTGTTAAGGTTACTAGAGGCCCTTATATATAGTTCCCCAAAACTCTAGATGTTCCTTTCTCATAATAAATGTTTCAATTATATTAATTATTTGATTTATTATAAATTAATTATTCTCCTTTTTCTAATTAAACAATGAACATTTGATGAATAACAAAATAATCCTTGATTTTATTTTATTATTATTGTTTGGATTGAGCCATGTGTCCAACCCCAATATCATTATGTATATATTATGTCCCTAATTTATTGTTTCAATGAACGTATCTCTAACAGACTGTCACTTGCACATATCATAACAATTGTGTAGTTGAAGTCACAAAACCACATAAGGTTTGCTATCTTATGACAAGTATCATAATAAAAACCTAGAAGATATGAATAATAATCCTGATAAGTGATATAGTATCCTTTAGTTCAATGATATCCGTATGAATGTGATACATGGATCTGTGTCAATCTCGAACATTTAAAATTATATTTCTTAATTTAGATTTGTGGTACCTACAAGACATGCTACATAATTGATTTATTATCAATTTACTTCGATAATGACATACTACATAATTGATCTATTATCAATTTACTCTGAGCACGACCATGCATTTTAATTTCAGCACAAATCATCAAAGGTCCCACATATATCGCTTCCCAAATGTTAGAATAAGGAACAAATAAACATTGACTTCATAGATCTCACCTTTTGTCATGTTATACTTGATCATTCCAAAAACAACAGTAAAGAATGTTAATGAATAAAAAATGTAGATTAAGATCATATGCATCTCCATTTAAAAGATACATGATTTTATTATCTTAGAATTACCCATTAGATGATCCATGAAATAATCACTAAGTACGAGTTGCTCTAATATTTGATAGGTATCAAGTACATGTAAGTGTAATTGCATCTATATGTTATATCTATCTCCACGGGTCGTCAACTGGAACTTCACATCAATCTTAATTCATTTTCCCTTTAATGAAGAATGATCGACTGTAGAGGTTTCGAATAAACTAATATGTTAATATATAGGAAGTAAGTAAACATGCAAATGGAACACAATAATGTACTCAATGAATTTAATTTCTCTACAACATATATTAAGATCTCTAGAATAATTATTATTACATTATGAAAGTGTATAATTTATCAGTTACTTAACAATAAATCAACTAAAGTCGCTTTCGTAGTTCTTTTTCGATTCTAATGCATATGGACCCATTATGATATCATGATTTGTATGCGACAATGGCTTAGTGAACATATCAACGATATTCCATTCCAGTGTAAACTTTTATAACTAGGATGTCTCCTTCTTCAACAACCGTGCAAATATAATCATATTTATTGAGTATTTTCCTTGTGTGCCTTGGCTTCTCTAGCCAATATGACTACACCCTCGTTGTAGTATAAATCTCTATGGGATTACCATGGTTCGAGATCTTCGATGAACTTGTTAGGGTGTCAACCCTAAAAGGGGTAAAAATTATATATCTTAGTTTCTGTTATTTTGCACCAAAACATACAAGATAAGAGGGTCGATCCATAGGGACATATGTCTATATTAATGCATTTTCTATATAAATAAATGTAATAAAAAATAAGGGTTGTTTGTTTAAATGAACTTGGAAAATAAATAGCATGAAAGTAACTGAATGAAAACTCATAATTAAGAAAGATTTGGTTTTTATTTATACTTATCGAGTTATAGAATCAGCCTTGAAGTGACATTAAAATCAATTCTATCTAATATGGTATTAAAGATACTGACACGCTCTAGTATTTTTCATTCTCCCAAATATTTAATCAAACGAAGATCGTTGGATAAACTTAATCTTAATAATCTAATCTAAACAAACTATTAGATTTTATATTGTAAGATTACACTAAGTGTCATGCAAATATTCTTAATAATGCTCAATACTTCTCACAAGTACAACACATAAGCATTAAAGCATAAATTTTTTTTGTTTACATTGGAATTGATCCCATTAAAAACCAACTTACTCTTTGTTACTTATTATTAATTCATAAAACATTTATAAATTGAATAAATTAAATAACATGAATGATTTAACCCTAATTCAAGTGGCCTAAATGAACCGAGTAAAAAATAACACCATTAATAAAAAACAAAACTAAGATTTGTTAAATAGCAGTATAATTCAACATCAAATCAATTGATTAACAACATAATTCAAAAGAAACTATATAATCGGATGTGAAAGAGTTTAGCCACATATGACTAATCTGGAATCAAAGTCTAAATGTAAATATAATCACGAATTCAACTTACAAAATGAAAATCACATTGTTTCCAAGCGTTAGAATGATAAATAAATATTCTTTTATTCTCTCTAATCATTACTCTCTCAAAACAAAGTTATTTTTTCTTTTTACTATAACAACCCAAAAAAATATATATAATTAAGATAACTAGATTGCAAGTTGTAACCCAAAATGTGTAATGGAAAAAGCAATATGAACACAATTTTATGTTTTAAGGGCATTTTAGTCTTTTATACAAAATATATGAAAATTTAGCTATTGTGGTATTTTATAAGTTATTATGATGTTATATAAGTTATATTGAAGAAATAAATGGATAAGTGAAGTTATAAATGAAATAAATGTAATATTGAATTTTTAGATAAAATGTTCTTAAATAGCATCTTTGAGATTTTATAACTTCAAATTTAGAGCCATTGAGAAGAGG